CCTCCCCTCGCCCCCGCCGCCTCCCCCTCCTCGCCCCCCCGGCTTCCCACCACGGCCGCTCTCGGCGAGGAAACTCTGGCCTCCGCTTCCTCCTCCTCCGACTCGGACACCGGCGGAGCCTCCCCGCCCCCGCGGAAGAAAGCCCGGGCCTCCCCGGCGGCGGCGGAGGGAGCAGGAGAGCCCGGGGCTTCCGCGGGCAGAGCAGGCCTCACCTCGTCCCAGTCCCCCTCGGTGCCCGCCGGGCTCGCCCCCGCCGCCGCCCCGCTCAGAGGCAGCAGCAGCAGCGGCGGCATCGCCAGCAGCACCATGCAGGCCAACGAGGCGGGAGGGGGCCAGCAGCAGCAGCAGCCGCCGCCGCAGGGCCCGGAGCTGGGCTGCCTGGGCGCCCAGAACGGCGAGGCCTCGGCGGGCACGGCCGCCGGTGACCAGCTGGCCCATGCCAACGGGCTGCTGCCCTCGGCCAACAGCGGCGGCCCCGGCGGCGGCAGCCCCGGCGGGCTCGGCGTCAACAACGGGGTGCCCGCCGCCGGGGGGCCCGGCCCGGCCGCCGCCGAACTAGGGGGCGGCGGCGGCGGCAGCGCCCTGAAGAAGAAGAAGCGGCTCTCGCAGTCTGACGAGGACGTGATCCGGCTGATCGGGCAGCACCTCCACGGGCTGGGGCTCAAGTAAGTGGCCGCGGTGGGCGAGGGGCAGCGCGGCCGGGGCGGGGGACAGGCTCCTTCCTTCCTTCGTTTCCTGCGGCACCCTGACCGGAGGGTCCCCCCGGGGCAGCCCCGCACACACGCCCCGCCGCCCTCCGCTCCGTCCGCGGGGAGGGTCCGGCGCGGGGTCCCTGCGGAGGATGGGCAGCCCGGAGCGGGGAGGAGGGGAGAGGAAGGGACACCCGGCGGGGAGCGGAGGTTGGTGGCCAGAACTGCCCCGGTGTCGCAGCCCGGTGGTCTCCGGCGAGGGGAGAGCAGTGCCCGGCTGCGAGGCAGAGCGGTGGGGCAGGCCCGCTGCCGGAAAAATGGAGCCGGAGCTGTGTTTTCCAAGCCCGTGCCGGTGTCTAGCGAAGGGACAGGACAGGAGGTTCCCTTGCCAGGGATGGCAATATGGAAGTCGAGTTGCACACCGATAAGGGTAGATCAATACAAATGTGTTAGTGGGGGAGAAGTTATCTGGTAAACATAATGGAGCCCGCAGCTGGGCGTGGGGGGGCGGCTTTTCGCAGATGAGCTCCAAGATTTGGCTTGTCAGCTCGGAGGAAGCGACACAAAGTAAACTGCCACTTAAAGCAGGCCGATTGGTTTCGCTCTGGAAACCTTTGGCCCTCTAAATTGTGAAGGCCTCTCAAGATTTGTGCTGGGCACGTGTTTTTGCTAATAATCTTACTTGTAAACAAGAAATGAGAATGTTGGCCCTTCCTTAAAATCAGAATGGAGAAAATAATTTCCCCGTGGAATAGGGGAAGTCTTAAGTGTTTAATCATAGTGCTTTGTGAGTAAAGCTAAAGCTAGCCAGTATGTCATCATTTTGGAAGGAGGGTAGAGAAGTCCTGCGAAGTGCTTATGTAGCCACAAAAGAAGTCTTCAAAACACTGCAGAATGGGTCAGCTATAAAGAACATATTCCATAAAATAAATTGCCTCTGACACAAGAGGCAAGTTTACAGCAGCAGACAACTCGTGACTATTCATAGATGACACCACAGTAAATAAGCTATTTTTAGTATAAAAGGGGGAGGGCTACAGGTTCCTGAGTTTGTTTATTTTTTTTTAAGGAGGCAGTCTTTTAAGAAGTGATGAAGAAAAAATTAGGCCTGTGCCAGATGTTGTAGCTCTCCTTGTTCTTTTAGGGGGGAGGTAGGGAGGGGGCAGGGGATGGCAGCCAGGAGCTGACAGCTTTCTAGACTGTATCTTCCTTCATGAAGTTTATCTTCTGTGCAGGGCTGGCTGTTTGTGGTGGCTGGTAAGTCACATACTTTATGGTACTTCAGCAAAGCTTTCAAGCTCCTTGACAACTTGCTTTAGGTAGAGGTAGCTTTTTACATGTCTCAGGCAACTGAGATCACCTTCTTGAACAAGCATCTGAATCTGGTCATCGTATTCTTGTTTTATTAAAGTTACTTTAAAGTGTGGTAAACTGTTATCATAGCAGGCGGTGTATTTGTGAGGGTGAAACTGGTCGGGTTTTTTTACACTGTATCTCTCCTGCAGCCAGACTGTTGATCTCCTCATGCAAGAGTCAGGATGTCGTTTAGAACATCCTTCAGCTACCAAATTCCGCAATCATGTCATGGAAGGAGAATGGGATAAGGTAACGTAGGGCTTATAGGACTGTATTAACCACTGTTGAAATTATAGTATCTGTGAGAGAATTCAAAATTCACCCTCCTTATATACTTTTTTTTCTCTTATGCCGATTTCTGCAGGCTGAGAACGACCTGAATGAACTTAAGGCCTTAGTGCATTCTCCGCATGCAATTGTGGTAAGAGGCACACTTGAACTCTTTCAGAGCTGTGTAGTTGGACTAATTGTAGTGGTGTAATCTTTCACTATGGAGTTGGTTGTCCATAGTTCTTGTTTTCTCTTTTTTGTTTACTTTTAAGCTGCTTGCATGCTATCTCAAACGTCATACTAATCTGAACTTTTTTTTATTCTGTTGTAGAATGTGAGATAGGCAGCCCAAAAGTATTGAGGCTAAGATTTGGTGTACTGAATTTTAAAACTCTATTAAACGTACCTAACTGATAAAATATAAACCCTGTCACAGTCCTAAAATAGGTCAGTTTCTGTAGAAACTGCCTATGTTGAATACTAATTTCAACCTTGAAATACTTGTCACAGTCTCTGTGTTTATAGGAGTTAGGTGTTCTTGAGGGAAGAGAAGTTTAGAAATAAAATGCACTAATAATAATGTGGAGTTGGCATTGTAATAGCACATTACAAGAATATAGAGGCTGCTATAGACCATGAACAATACTGTTGCTTTTCCAGATGGCTTTTAAAGAGCAAATGCATTTGTATTGCTGTTTGGGATTTTATTTAGAGCTTTTTCCCTTTGGGTGGCTTTTTTTTTTAAAAAAAGATAAACCTAGAAATAGAAGGTTGGTGGATCCTGTGACTTGACACCACAATACATGTTGTTATGATTTCAGTTGCTTTGAGTAAAGTGTTTCTTGTTTTGATTTTTCTATCTCAAGATATAAATCATCACTTGGCTCTTCAAAGAGCTTGTTCTCTTGTGTTTGGACTTTTATTTTAATGAGATGAAGTTACAACAGCTATGGTCACTTAGGAAGCAAACAGTATCAAGGCTTTTTGAAGTGTCTGTGACTGTAAACAATGAGGAATCAGCTGATGGCTGCTTAGTTCCACTTCTAGCTGATTCATTTGTTGTCAAGACAATTTCCTGTCCGATGGGGGAGGGAGAGAAAGAGAGAACAGGAAATGAAGTAGGAAAAACAGATGTTTAACAAAACATCAGAGGGTACTTGACAGAAGTTTACATTTGGTTCTATTACTTTGGTCAAAGCTTAGCACCTCTTAACTAGACCGGCCAGTAGTTCACTTTCTCTTTTGTCAAAGACCTGAAGGAGTTGAGAATATTGCATGCACGTTTCAACAGTTTGTGCAGCCTGAAAGTATGGAACTGCTGTATTGGAATATGAATGGTCATTTGAAACAAATTCTCACGGGTTCTGAAGTTACAATGTTTGTCTGTAGTATTCAAATGTTTTGCATGTTAGTGAGTCAAGAGATTTAATTGAGATATCAACATTGTACTCTTTAAAGACGTCAAGAAAAAATAATGTTTTTCTTCTGTTGTTCTGAAGGGCTCCAAGAGCATTCTCTAATATTGCTATCTTAAGTGATTCCATAAAGCTTGGTGCAATAAACACATTGGTTTAGACTGAACTTTACCTGAACCAATATTAACTGTTCTCTTTTTAAAGTTAGTCTTCTTTATATTAACTTGATATAATTTAAAACAGATAACAGTTTTGAATATCTTACATGTGCAAGACAGCATTATTTGCAAGGATCAGTTGAGCTTGTGTGCGTGGAGTCTCCTCCTCCCTCCTTGTCCAGCTTTTGTGCACATGGTTGAGGTTCTGGGTGGGTATTAGTGCTGGGAAGTTAGAGAGAGATCATTACAGGTAAGGAGGGATGCTTTATGCTCTGTCGGTATTCCCCACTGCAGTAAAGTCAGAGCTAATGATGGTGATAAATGTCTTGATCAGGAAAAGTCCAAATAACGTGCTGCTGCAGGTAGCTCTTTAAAAATAGAAAATTGGATTTTGAGTTTTCTGACTTGTGACTCACACTTTGTGACTAGATGTTTTAAAAATGTGTGCATACAAGAAGAATGGGTACCTAAAAATTTAGATGACACAGGGAGTATTTAACTAAGTAGGGTGTGTGTTTTGTGGTTTGTTTTTGGTTTGTGGTTTGGGTGGGTTTGTGTTTTTTTTTTTTTTTTTTTTTTTTTTTTTTTTTTCTTACAGTTAATATGACCTGGACAAAATAACCAGGATACACAGTTGCTTTTGAAATGTCTGGTCAGTGAAGGGAGACGCATATGTATTAAAAAAATCCTACTTATGTTTAATTTCCTGATTTCTGCAAAGTGCTTTAAGTTCTACAGGTGAAAACACTAAATATGAAGTGGCTGCTGTCAATTTTTAAGGCTTTGATGCAGTGTGTTGTTATGGGGGGAAGGAGGGTGTGGCAGCACACAGGACAGTTTGCTATTTCTATTTCTGTTAACACAACTGAGTGCTGTACAGTATGTGATTAGTCATGTTTACTTTTCCAGCATATAAGATACAGCTGTCTTAGAAAATCTGTAGGAAAACTTTATAATTGAATCAAGCATGATGTTTTTCCTTCAGTAACAGTTAGAAAACACCAACTTCAAGCCAGCCTGAGGTTTTGCTTGCTTTGGGGCTACTCAAGCATGTGATGGCATCTGTCTTGGGTACTTAATTGCACCTAGGAAGAAACTTTGGGATTATTCCTCTACAGTCATCCAGAAAATACCTTCAGATTGCTCTCTTTACTTATTCCAGAGGTATACAGCCTGCAGCAGGCAATACAATCTAAAAAGTGAGTTAAATATTATCATTTGAGTGAAGTGCTCCACCTGCCTGCATGGTGTCCCTCTTGCTACCAGCATTAAGGGCAGTTCCCTACTGGAGTTAATTACTCCCTGTGTAGTAGGACTTGGTATGGTTGAAGCCTCATTAAATTCCTTGTGGAATTCTGTAGAGCACAATGTTTTCTGCCCTTTACATATCAGGGCATTTAAGTTTTGGATTTTTTTAAGTGCTTTCCATCAGTGTTTTACAAAACTGTCATGGTAAAAGACTACAGGATAGAGAAAACTGAGGTCTTACTTCTGCAGGCTGTAAGTAAATAGCTGCTGTCTTGAGTTTGTTTTGAAAATCTGCTGATAATTTCACTGTGTATTTTAGTCACCTATTTCATTTCAAAGAGCAGTTGTTTCAGCAATGTTTACTTATTTTGGACTCCTAGTACATTAATAAAACTGTTGTGGAGCTTGTTAAGATATGCAGGTTGAAAATAACTCCAAAATCTAGACATAAACTTAGTTTATTTTGCATTTTGTTCATTAAACTTCTGAAGATTCACTGCTGGTTACAGTTACTGATCAGAATGGCCCAATTTCTTGCCTGTGGCAGTATGTTTTTCCTGTTCCTTTCACAGCTTTGTTTGCTGAGGTTTTCACCTTTGGGTAGGTAGTGATGCTGAGTTATGGTACATGCCAGACTTCCTAGAATTTAGGATTCTGGAAGGGGCTTTCCTACTAACAGTTAGGACAAGGGAGGAGTACAGTACTAAGCATTTGTGTTAGTAATCCAAGGCTGTAGTTTGAAGGAAGAAAAATGCTAATAATGCATACATTGAAACAAACAAACAAAACCTTGTAAATCTGTTAACTCTTAGTTTTGCCCCAGGGTAACCAGAGTTCAATTTACACTTAAATAAGAGCTTGTAGAAACAACAAAGTAATGCACTTTACCCTCATCCATTCTGTAGAGGTGAAAGACAGGATGAGCTAGTAATAAATAAACAAGCCAGAACAGCCAGACTGCAGTGCTGACACTTGGATTGGACTTTTCCAGGTGTCCATCAGGGTGAGGAATCTTGGCTATAAGCTAAGCAATGGTGGTGTCTGAATTTTAAATTGTTCAGGAGTCATGGGTGTGATGATGTTGAATTTCCTTTGCAAACACTGAGATGATAACAAATCCCAGGCACTCGTGTTACTTTGGTATGTTTTTCATTATGGTCATTTTGATTTCCCTTCTTTGTAAGGCAGCTAAAAAACATGGAGAAAGAATAAGCTACTTAATCAGTGGAGTTTGTGCTTTGGCTTTACAGTTGTCAAAATTTTAAACAGTTCTCATTCCTTCTAGAAGAGCTTGTTTGGGCTCTAAAAGAGATGATGTACCCAAAATGGTCTTGGATTTTGTAGAAGGTGGTGTTGGAAGAAGTTGGAAGTACTATTAGGAGGGTGTAAAGGAGTTGATAGAAATTTAATTGCCAGCAAAGTCACTAATTGTACAAAAATAAGTAGGAGACAGTGAGTGTCCCAATGTTAAAAAATGACCTGCAGTGTAATATTACTGGAGTGTGACTCTTGCCTTAAGCAAATTCATGCCATTGTTTGAGTATGCTGTAGGGCAAGTTTTGGAGCAGTTATCAAAATAGCTTAGCAATTCATTTAATTTCCCCATCAAGACTTTAGTCCCTGCCCTCTGCTGTCGATAAGTTACTATTTCAAGTTGCTTATCTCTTATTCTAATTCTCCATTACGGGAACACTTGATTGCTGCATGAAATGTATAATACTTTGTTTTTCTGGGGGCCTTTATGTTCTTAATATGCCTAAGTCACACATGGCATTGATGGCCTCTTTTTTTTTTTTTTTTAAGCCATACTTTCTAGCCTAGAACTGAAATTACACCTCTTTGGCAACAGCATTCTGAGTGGTAATATTCCTGTAATGCTTTCATGGAATTGCTGGGACTGGTGTTATAAAACCCATATTATAGGGTTTTTCTGCTCTTTTTACTTTTTCCTCTAACAAAATGAAATTAATGTTCCAAGTCCTGAAAGTAAGGAGGGTGAAAAGGTAGGTTATCACATTTAATGGAAATATGATATAAATTAAGTATTCTACACAATGGATGGAGAAGGAAGGTAGGGGGGGAGTATAGTTTTTATTACAGATAAATATCAGTCTATTTTTGATCTGGTGGCAGTCATCAGTGTGAGGTGACCAAAAGCAGTGAAATATAGTATGTGTCTGCTACCTGGGCATTTCCATGTATCCTGGAGAGCATGTGCACAGCTGGTGGGGGAAGTTCTTATCCCTCCTGCTGCTGGTATATAAGCAAACAGTGTGGGGTCTGCTGGCCTGCTGCATGGAGCCAACCACTGGGCTTGTAAATAATTGGGATATCTTTCATTTGGTTTTTCACATGTCAGAACATCGAAAAAAGTTGTCTCACCTGGAAGAACTGTACAGTAATGGTCTAATAATTCCAAATTCAAATAAACTAAAGAGCTGGATTGGGAGTGCAATACAGGTTTGCCTGTCAGATACAGGACAGCAGAGCACTACAGACAAGTTTGAACATAAATCATCTTTAGTGTGTCATGTTTTATGCTTCACAAAGCTGTGTGGTAAGTTAATAGCACTGTATGTGGAAACTTCATTCTTTTGAAGAACTGAGTGTCTCTGGAAATGAAAATGCTTTATGTTTTAACTTTGAATTTAACATCTAGTGAGCCTTAAACTTTCATGTGAGCTTTAATAGGACAGGAACATCTTAAACTTCCCAATTATCCCTCTACTTAAGGAGGCTGGCAGTGTGTTTGAAACTAAGTAAACATTGACCAAATATGAGCATGAAAATAGTGAGGTGCCTGAGGTCTGGTGAAAGCAAAGGAAACTGGTAATTGAACTGGTGGTGTATTCATTGGGAAAGCAAATGTAGTTTGCTACACTTTATCTCCAGTCTGTGTCTTCCCAATTTGTCTAAGCATGAACGTTTTCCTCATTTTTCTCTTCAACCTGTTGAGTTTTGTGGACTAAACCTGCAATTTCTGGTAGCAGTAAAGAATGTGTACAAACACAAGATACTTGATTTCATCCAGAAACAACCAAACTGTGTTTGTCCTAAATTACTGTTAAAAATTTTAGTATAGTAACTTAATGCCTAATTTTAAAATTTTTTTTACCCACAGATATTTGTTAGAATAGCAGGCTTGATTATTTTTTTTTTAAAGAAAACAATCAAAAGCTGTAAAAGTGAAAGGAACACTATGAAATAACAGCACTTAATTCAGTGTTGAAGTGACTTCTAAATATAGGAAACTGGTTTTTTTTCTGTAATCCTGGAAACAGCACCCAAGGAAAACAAGTGAACATGGCACTACAAAAAAACCCCAAAACCTCAGGCAGTGTCAGTTTGTTGCTGTTATATGTTATGCAGCTATGCAAACAATCAACACCTATGTAAGCAGTGTGAGAACTTGATGAGTTTTCCTGTTGTGTTCTGTGCTGTCACACAGTCTTAAATATGTGAATAGCTGATTTGGGGCCCTTTTCTTGATAGAACGTTTCACTGGAAAACCGGAGTAATGCAGGGTTTGAAGGGTGATGACTAAAGAGAGAGCAGGTGAAAGTGGGAACAATTGCAGGGGAGATCTGAGGAATGAGATAGCAACTACTTGGAGCCCCATCAGGCAGGGAAGAAATTCATGGGTAGCTTAATTGCTGCAGTGTTGTTGAAAAGCCAACAAAAGAAATTGAGTAATGAAACATTACTTAGAGCTGTCTTTCTGAAGGGCATAGTAGAATGGTTTCTACTGTTCTGTTTAGGCTCAAACGTTTTCTGAAACTTCAGTCAACCTTTTTCCCCTGACTGCTGCTTTCTGTCATGTCAGAGGATGAAGTTTTTGCTGCTGCAGCAGAAGTACCTGGAATACCTGGAGGATGGCAAGGTCCTGGAGGCACTTCAGGTTCTACGCTGTGAACTGACGCCTCTGAAATACAATACAGAACGCATTCATGTCCTCAGTGGGTAAGTGTTTGGACTTTGAGAGCTCTTGCAGAGAAGTTTTTTAAGGAATTCTGTAGCTTTTGATAGCTGATGTTGTGAAGACTCAAGCTGTATTAAAGCTACTGTCCTGGTGGATAATAAGCTGTACTGAGATGTGATAAAATGCTGAGTAAAGAATGCTGTTCAGTAGACAGTATTTTGTTTCAGATGCTTGAAAACAACCTGATGATGGACTTACTTTAATACTACTAGAACCCAAATTAATATTTATGTACATATGTATGGTTATCTGAGAATTATTAGCCAGTTATCCTAAAATTTAGTTGAGTGTAATCTGATTTGTTCTTAGATGAAAATAAGACATTTCTACCATCCTAAAATTGCTTGTGTTTTGTTTTCTTTTTGTATGGCCAGTTTGCAGACATTTGTTCAGAAGATGTGTGTTTGTGTGAAATAGTTCCCTGCTTTTTCACTGTTGGTCTCAAGCTTAACTTACCTGTTCCCAGTTAATTAAAAATGTTATGATCTGTATCATATCATGCTTAGAAGTGAAAAGAATGATTCCAAAAAGACTTGGTCTGTTGGTGTATGTGCCCTTTTGAAACAGGTACCTGATGTGTAGCCATGCAGAAGACTTGCGTGCAAAAGCAGAGTGGGAAGGGAAAGGAACAGCTTCCAGATCTAAACTTTTGGACAAACTCCAGAGTAAGATTTTTAGATGTTTAGAATTGCTTCTCATCTCTGTTAAATCCAGTATAACTTGCACATCCCAAGGAACTGACTGTGTTTGCTGGTTGGTTGGTTTTTTGTATTTCTTGGTTCATGAGGATACCTTTAGGTGCCTTTACCCTTTGGTCTTCTGTACTTAACCTTTTGCTGTCTCTGATAAACTGTTGGTAATAAATACTGTTACTTCTTAGCTCTGCTGCATGCAGTAGTGATATAACTTGGTGATTAAATGTGTGGTTTAGGGAGGTGTGTGTTATAAATTCCAGCCACAGTGAGCGGTGGAAGCCACATGTGGCCTATAACACATGGTTATAGATACTGGTGCTGGTTGATAGTTGTTTCATACTTTGCTCTGAATTATGGTTTCTCCTTTCTCTTGTGGCTATTGTAATACTGTGGACCAAAGTTATAAAACCCATGGTATTCTTTATTTTCATAGTGCTGATAGAGAATTCCTTAAAGGAACCCAGCTGATGGTGTTGTTATGCAGCATTATAGATTTTGTAAAATACTGAGTTTTGAGTTAGCTTGTTAAAATGGTGCTTGTTGGCCAGGACAATGCACTCTACAACAACAAATACCTTACATACAGCTCTGCTTCCCAGAAGTTCATGCTTTAATTCCAGCTGTATAGCTGTACATTCAAATTCAACAAGCTGTGTGCTATTATTTACTGAGCTCTTTTCCAGAACCACTCAAATCAAAGTATGCTCTTACTTGTAACTTGCTTTTGATAAGCCTTTTTTCCTTCATGTGTTTGTTTTCTCTTCCTAACTCCTCTGAAGCCTACCTGCCCCCATCAGTGATGCTTCCTCCAAGGCGTTTACAGAACCTGCTGCGCCAGGCTGTGGAACTCCAACGGGACCGGTGCCTATATCACAACACCAAACTAGACAGCAACCTAGATTCTGTCTCGCTGCTAATAGATCACGTTTGTAGTAGGTAAGAAACATTCCTGACTTCTGAAAGGGGCAATCTTTTCTTGGTCTTTTAAAATAATCTGCTTGTCAGAAACGTGAAGACTGTTCTGAGCTGGTTTCACAGGATTTTACTGGGAAAAAGTCGTTCTCGCTAAATGAGCAGTGGGAAGTAAAGAAGGTGTGTACATGAGATTTTGGTAGCTGGATGTGGGGTAATGGGATCAAACTGAAGCTTTAAAATTTTAATCAGATTGGTGTAAAAAGAAGATACTGCTATGCCAATCCATAGCCACTTGTTTCTAGTAATTTTGGGCAGCCAGTTGTCTGTTCATCAGCACAGGATTCCTGTGTTTTTTCACTGGAGATTGAGTGGTGTGTTGCTTACCCAGACTGTCTTTAAGGTTACTGGAATGTAGAAAGCCTGCTGAAGCATGCTTCTTTGAACTCAACTTTCAGCTGTAACTTTGAGTAGACACAGGTGCTTTTAGACACAAAGGTTTGTGTCTAAAACACAGAGGAGAAATGTACAGTAGATTTTTCTGAGTTACATAACATGAGCAATAAAAGGAACTATTTTCTCAGATTTGTAGTAAGGTAGTAAGAATGGTCTCTTATACCTTTGTATTGGCTCTTTAGACTGTCTGGATAACTTTTTTTTTTTGGTGACAAAATGGAGGCTGCTTCTGAACCTTCAAAATGCAATACTCTTAATAGACATGAAACAGGAAGATGTTTGTTTTTAACAAATGGCTGACTTGAGCAGTTTTTCCTCATCCAGCAAAACTTGGCTAAGGACCTAAAACTCTGTGTAGCTTTTATGGAAAACTGCTGTGCTGTGCATGGTGGATTAAGGGAATAAGGGCTGTATGGGATATCCTTATGTATTTGTCCCTGTAACAGGCTAACACTTGGGCTTTCAGGGGAATTATTTTCAGTTAAGGTTGGCTCATCTGAGGAAGTTAATTAAGAACTGATAGACTTGCTTATAGAAATTTTCTGAACTCAGCTGCTTTGACTTGCATTCTTGGGTTACTTGGAATCAGTTTTTAAAGATGCAGACTTCCATAGTACTTCACTGTAGCCATCCTAAGGTTTGAAAATTGCTGTCTTTGGCACTTTATATATTTGAGTAGTCTTCTAGCTTACAATTTTGCTGCATTGCATTGTTTCAGCAGTTGTATATGTGTGCGCAGACCTTTGAATGTTGCCCATTTTAAGAGCTCTTGGAAGTGGTCTGGTACTGGTATTGTGGCTTCCCTCCTTCAGGAGTCTTAAAGAAAATCAGACTGCCTAGAAGAGATTTAACCTTTAAGCAAGGCCATGAGTAATATTGGCCGTTGTGCAACAGGTTTGATATTACTAATCAAATCCCAAGGAGCATTCCAGATCACTGTGACGAGCTTGATTTACTCAAGCCAGGCTACAGAGAGCCAGACTGAATTTCCCCCACCTGAATCTAACTCAGGTTTATTGTATATAGTATCTTTTCTATTTGCTGACATAAAAGTGTAGCCATAGTTTGGGTTTTTGTTTTGTTGATTCCTTTTTTTTTTTTTTTTTGGCTAAAGTGGTACTTCCTAAACTTGCATATTTGCTGTGTATATACATGCCTAGATATTCATGGCTACTGTAATTAAAAAACCCCAACCAAACAAGGACCCAAAAATCCACTTGGAAAGAGAGGCTTCCATTCTGTCCTCATCCTATTGTAGCTGCCTCTTGCAGGGATCTGGCTCCAGTTTGTGGTGTGCTGTGCATGCTGCCATGCTTGGGCACAGTGAGGTGAGTTGGACAGTGGAAGCCAAATTTTCATGAAGGTGACAGAAGTAACAGTAGTCTAAAAGCTTAGACAGTTGAAGTCCTATGCTACTTAATTGATGGAACACTGATAAATTTCCCCTTTTTAGTTGGAGCTAATCCCTTTTGGACTTCTGGTGATATTTCAGTTAGGCATGCTTGAATTGCACTAACAGGCAAAATGATTTTTAACTACAAAACTCACTTGATAAGAGTAGGAGATATGAATGAGGCACCACTGGGAGTGCAAGTGAAGAATTTCATGTTATTGTGCCAGAGGTTTTGATAGTAGGCAATTGATGCTCTTGGGGATGATGATTTTTGATTTTGAGAACCTTCAGCCTAGTTGGGTGTGTTGGGATTTTTGTTCATTTGCTTTTTTTTTGTGTGTTCTTTGTTGAGGAATAAATCTTTCATTGTATGTACCGGGAATAAAAAGGTAGCTATTTAATGTTTTATTCTATAATTTTGAACTTGTGAAAATACAACAACAGTAAACTTTATTAGATCCTCTATCTCAGTAAGTGAATGACATAATTCAGGTGTTTTGTGCTGAACAGAACAATTTGTAATGAAATGCTTCAAAAAAGATGAAGGAAAACCTTTGAGCTTCAGTAATATCTAATTACCAAAACCAGAAACTGTTAAGACAACTGGTTCTGGTTTCTTGTTTCAAGACTGCAGCTATTTCCTTCCACAGCCAGGTTATTGAATGTGGCTTTGCTGTCTGTGAAATCAAACTTGCTGAGTTTTGTTTCACTAGTTAAGTGGACTTTTTGTGGGAGCACTTAGATCCAACTGGGTTGTGAGCAGCATAATTCAGTACTGGCATGTGTCTGCAGCAGCCCTAATAATTGTGTCGCCCCTTTTAGGAACTGAAGGTATCTTACTATGAAAACAATGGGCTCCAGCATTATCCTGCTTGCTTTTCATGTCTACAAAACCTTGGCTGCTTTTCTTAAGCCTTAAGATGGAAGAGCTATTGTTCCATAGAGTATAATTTTGAAATGAAATGTGCTGAAAAGACTTTCCTGGGATGCAGTGTGCCCCTTGTACTTAGTGTGAATTCTGGATGCAGCCTCACCTCCTAGGGCAAGTTGCTGCTCAGAGCAAAAACTTTATGTTAGTATAGCTAAATAATAATGGAACACTGCTCCTGTAGGTGCACATCTCTGTCTAAGGGCTTGGCTGCTTCCCTCTAGACTTCAAGGGAAACAAAGTCTTTTTTCATGGGTGGGGCTTTTTTTACCTTGGGGTTCAGTGTCCTTCCAGGGGCAGCCAGGCAGTTCTTGGTCAGCTGAGAGCAGGGGCAGAACACATTTGTGTTTCTCTATAAACAAGTGTAGACATATCCAAGGAAGCCACATATATATATGTACATTTTATCCTTCTCTACCATAAGACTGGAAATGAGACTGTATAGTTGTTCAGTGCTGCTTGATAGTCTTGAAGCACAGACAAGGAAACCTCTTCTAATAAAAGAAAATGCACTGAGAGGGTACAGGCACTGTGTGAAGCAGAACTTTTTCTAGCTTCAGGGAAAAAGTAGTTTTTGAGGTGTCTGTCAGCCTGGCTGCTACCAAACTGTATTTGTAAACATTAATGTGAAGGAAGTAAGTTTTCTGCTTAAATTAATTGGGGGGGTTGGGGTGGGGTTGTTTGGTGGGTGGATTGTGATGTGTTTTTGTTGTTTTTTGATTGGGTTTTTTTGAGCCAGTTTATCTGCCTTGATGAATGCAATTGTACATTCAAGGGCACCATCATTCCCTTGGCATCACTGTGTCCCATCAGAGTTGTGTTGCACTGGGTGCTGGAAAAACTCAGCCTAAGACTAAACCACTTCAGCATCTCTGCAGTTGAAGAAAATGTGTCTGTGGTTATAGATTATCTTTTAGTGCATCTGAACAATGAACTTGTACCTCTTGCAGTATTATTTCAAAATAAAGACATCTGCTGTAAAAGCCTACATTTATTTTATCTTAGCTCTGAAATTCTTGTTTGAGAGCTTGTAGGCAAGATTTAAATCAAATAAAACTTGTCTCCAGTTCTCACCTAATTTAATAATTTGACTTAGCTTTTTTTTTGGTGTGTAACTAGAATATTAAGTATTGGCTCTAGAGGAATGTTTGGGTCTTCTATAGTAGTTTATAATGTATTATTTTGTTTGATAAACTCAGCATTTTATGAAATATTTTAGATTTTGTGAGAGAGAACTGTTCAAGCTGAAAGCTCAATGGTATCTTGCTAGTTATGCTTAGATATTGTATGTGGTACTCTGCAAAGGTGAAAAATGACAAAGGCAAAGAAACATTTAGTTTATTGCAGGGTCACATTCAGGAAAAGGAAGTTCTGTGTAGGAATAATTTCTTAGCAAGATACAGCTAAGTGAGTTAGATACCTACAAAAACCTCATGAGTAGAAACATTGCACCTATGGTTCAAAGAGACCTATACTATAGGATTTTCTATACAGTAGAAAATGATACTGTGATAAACTGTTCCACTCCTGATGAGGTCAGTTTAATTCCAACTTACATGAAAGAATAACAAATTATGTAGGTGAAATAAGAACAGTTCTGTGTTCTTATGGTTAATTACGATGCCTTAATGGTGTGAGTTTGTTGCCAGATAAGACACTTCATTCTGAACTTACTTGAAACAGCTCTTAATAGAAGGGTTTTCTAAGTTGTCTGGCCTTGCACTTCAATAAGGTTTTTGTTTGACTGGTATTTTTTTTTTAATAGCTTGACTTAAAACAATCTTACTGCTTTCTTATTGATCTGTGACTGCATCCCTTTGTTTTCCCAGGAAACAGTTCCCATGCTATACCCAGCAGATCCTAACGGAGCACTGTAATGAAGTGTGGTTCTGTAAATTCTCCAACGACGGCACTAAATTAGCAACAGGATCTAAGGACACAACTGTTATTATATGGCAGGTTGATCCAGTAAGTGTGAAAATGTGAATGAACTTGTCTTGCCCTTTCCTTTCAGCTTTCTCCTGCTAGGATGGTGTGATTTTTGTAGGACAGGCTGACATGTACTGTAGCCCTGTTACATCCTGTTCCCTGGGATATAAGTCTGGTAGATCTTGAAGCAGTAGGATATTTCTTACATATTTCCTACACATACCTATTGGTACATAAATAAAGAGGTTAATTGATGAGTCTAAGCCTGTTTTGACTTGTAGAAGTGATTATGAAAGTATGTCCATATATTTCATAATAATTGAAGACTGGGAATAAACTTGAACATATACACACAGCATTTGAAGTTGCTAGTGCTTGTGAAACTCTATCAGAAATAAGATCCTTATGGTTTTTTAACCACACTGCTGCAGGCTGGTATGTGAGGTGGAAAATGAAAGGTTTCTGCAGTTCCATACTGGTATTTGGTGGAGTTTGAATCTGAGTTTCTTTTCTTTCACTTCAGGTTAGGAAGCCATATAATCTGAGTCCTTTTTCCTGCTAAAATGATGGGAGGACCTTAAACTCCTGTTCCATCTGAATAAATATTATGTAGCCCCAGAACTAACAGCAGGCACCATGGCCTTTTCAGGCATAAGACTGCTGTGGTTTGTGTCTTACTGGGGCCAGTATGCTCTGGGCCAAGAGCTGCATAGTAGCAAAGCTGACTCTTGTTATTTAGTTTGGAAATTATCTGTGTTTTGGTTGTTGGTTTTGTTTTGTAATATTTTTAATAGAGTAATTTAGGTGAATTAAGGATCAAACATTTTTTGCTGTTAACTTGTCAGTTGACTGTAGGTGCACACCTTCCTTTTACACTGATGGGTTTTAATACCAAACATCTTGATTAGTACATCTTAAAGTGAATTGTTAGCTAATAGCTGCTTACTAAAACCACATTAATGTTTTGTGAGTGTTTAGACTAAGCCTTTGGACCAAGGGTTGCTAAAGAATAAAAATTATCTAAAAAATAGTTTGTGGGAAAGTGGTTTTGTAGAGTTTTATTGGTTTATCTCCTTTTTTGAGTGCTTTAAGAAAAATTGCAATGCTTTCAAGCAGGTGGATACTTAAATAGCATTAGGCCACATCAAGTGATTCACTTTCATATTTGCCAGAACATGCTTCTCACATTTCCTGTAGCAGTTGACATGGTCTTTTGACCCATAAATTTAATCTGATTTTCAAGGCTTTCGGTATACAAAATTACTCTAATTTGTTTGCATAAACTACATGGAAACAAACATCCAGCAGTGTCTGGGCAAGTGGTGGGAGAGCCGTGTTTTAAATGAACAGTGTTTGATTTTTCCACACGCACTTCACGTGTGTGAGAGTCCTTAATTTCTCCCTTTCTTTCTTCATTGCCCCCCCTTGAAGTGTAAGGACACTGCTCCAATGTGTTTTCTTAATTTCATACCTTGAATTTCTTACTCTTTTCTAAGACCCAGCCACATCTAGCCTGTCTTAACCTATGTGTCTGTTGTCGTTTCCGTGTGCTAATTTCAAAGTTCCAAGGAAGGCTCAGCAGCATTAAATGGTGTCTGAGTTGACTAGGTTTGTGTGGGATGCATTATTTGACTGTCAGGAAGTGTGGCAGAATCTCTGTGGAGCACAAAGGATGAGCACACCGTGCATCACCTTGTCTAACATGCATCTTCTTTGTTAAGAGTTCTCCTTTAACAGGCTCCTTAAAAAAATCCCTTCTGCGTTTTCTGAAAACTGTTGACAGGTTTTTGGTGTTTCAGCCAAGGAGCTCAGCTACTGCAGACATGAGTTGATGCCTGAATAGTTGCTTGTCATACACAACAAGAATTTGGGAAGCTGTATGTAAGGGATAGAAGTGCTGAGATTTCTTTTGGTGGTGGGTGGGAGGCAGGTTGACTACATTTGGGGATGTTTGCCTGAAATACCACTGACTGCTGTTTTAGAGCATGGTATAGCAGCTTTATGGTATTTGAAGGGAAGTATGAGAGCAGTATGGAAGATAGTAACAGCCACAGAGTGCTATCATTAGAAGAGGAATATCTTATATATCTTGTTCCTCATGAGTTTCAAATATGCTGAAGTGACAGGCTTCTTTAATCCTACTGTGTAAAAAAAAAAAAGTATCTGTTCCAGACAAGCTCCAGGATGTGAGATGATGTCAGACATGACTCAGTTTCCTTGAAAATCACTTTAGCTATAGACACAGCAGTGTCTAATGCAGTCTAGGAATAATGATTAGAATGGAAAAGGGGTCTTGAGGAGGTCCATTCATTTGTCCATCTTTCTCTGCACTCTGAAGATTATTCTTAGCTCACTTTGTTTTGAGGAATTTACTTTTTCTAGCTAGCCAGTGCTGCAGGCTGGCTGAGAGTCACCAAATCCCTCTCACTGCTGATCCCAGGAAGCAATCCTGTGTGTCACTCTTCCTCTGGTCTTTCTCTTCAGAATCAAGAAGTGCTCTGTTGATTAATACTGAAAAAAAGAGAGAAGGGACAATTAGAGAAATCAAGCTAGATTTTCAAATTAGTCACGCTTTTTGAAAAAAAGGTGGAGATATAAGCATCTGCCATGCATGGAAAAAAACGGGGGAGGGTGGGTAGAGGAAGGACAATTTGATTGCCCTTTCCAAGAGGCTTCAAAACAATTATTGTCAGTGTTTTAACAAGCTCTGTTCTACTTGTGTATATGCTGTTACCAAGAATCAGTGCTAATATTGTACTGAAGCGTGTTTCTGTATTTAGGAAGCCAGTGTGTGGTTGTTTCACAGTATCTAGCTGTACTATTTATTTTTAAAAGTTTCTTGAAAAGTCAAGTTCCTCTGATGAGGCAGCAGTAAAACAGTTGTAATATAGAGATGATACAAGATGCTGCATGTGCCAAGTATGCTTCATTCACTAAATCTGGCAGTGTGCTGTAGGCAGTGCTTCTGAAATAAGAACACCTCTCAAGGAAGATTTTATAAATATCTTTCTGTATATCTCCTTCTTTGAGCAGCACACACAAGATACGTGCAAGTTTATAAAAATATTGGCACTTGAAGGTTTTCCCTTGTCAGCAGCTGTGAAGGTTTTGGTTCTCTGTTTAACTAGAATAGGTTTCCAACATGTCTTTACTTTTAAGAAAGTAACTTAATTCTGTAAATACAGATGATAGTACTTTCATATTCCATTAGATATAGAAAAACTTGACGCTACAGAAATCTCCTGTACTAAGGAAAATCTACAGAAATCTTCAGTACTTTCTGTACTAAGTACAGAAATCTTCTGTTCTTCTGTACTGTAATATGAAACTTTGTACACAGTGGTATTTCTTGAGTTTTATGTTCAGAATCACAGAACACTGGAACAAAAGTACCTATGAGTGTTCTTTTTTGAAGTTTGAAGTTAGGAGCTTTCGTTTTCTGGCCCTGTAAACCGTGTAGCTGGAGGTTTGAAATGCTGTGGAAGCGTGAAATGTGGTGGTAGTTGATTTGCATTGTCTCAAGAGCTCCTCTCTTGTTCCAGGACACTCACCAGCTAAAACTCCTTAAGACGTTAGAAGGTCACGCGTACGGGGTCTCCTACATTGCCTGGAGTCCAGATGACAACTACCTTGTTGCCTGTGGCCCAGATGATTGTTCTGAGCTTTGGCTCTGGAATGTACAAGTAAGTGGTGGCTAAGAGTGAAAAACAAAACTTTGTGGTCAGCCTGATGCTTTTGTTTTAATATCTGAATACTGCAGGTGTGAAAGAAGGAATTGCCGCAGACTTGTGCCAGGGTGGGAATGTAAAGAAGAGATGCTGATCTCACTGTCCTCCTCTCAATTTGAAAAAATAATTATGGCAGCCTGCTAATGCTCTTTGCACTTTGGACAGAACTGAAATTGGAGTTTAAGTGTCTGGGATTGTGCAGCAATTCTTGTGTGTGTGGTTACCATCATTTCTGAGAAGGGATGGCATAAATGCATAGGATGTTAGAGAGCTCCTGAAGAGAAGGACAGCAAATGAATCAAGAGAAGCAGAAGGCAGAAGTATCATTGAAGGGAAGCAGTTGCTCATTGATGATTTTAGCAAGTAGGAAAAGTAAAAGATGCAAACTGTTCTGCTTCATGTCACCCTTCCAGTGATGTCAGTGAAAGAGGCTTCAATTTATGATTTCAGAGCTTCATTTTTCCATCAGGCACTTGGGCATTTTGCCATTCCCTCCATGGATTTGAAAATCACTTTCTGCTGTTGAATTTTATGGGCACTTGAGTTGATATAAAAGCTTCCCTTGCCTCGGTTGAGAGCTGTGTAGACTTCCTTGTGCTGTCTTGGGCTCTGAACTAGTGTAGTTTCTTAAAACAAAAACGTTCCCTTTCTTCACCCTTGGAACACTTTTCTTCTGTTTAATTGACTAAATTGGCTCAGTGAGGAGCACTGCTGACAATGCCACTCATTGGTGTTCTGTCTTGTGAAATGGTAGCTTTATACGCGGGGCATGAAAGCCAAATCTTGGCATGGAGAGCTTCAGCTCGAGGAGGAAAACATTCTAACTGCTGTGATATTCCTAACTTGTTACTGAAATACATTTTGTTACCTCTTTTCTTCTAGTCTGTCCCTGCCTCCTTCCTTTCAGAGTTGTGGGTTTTTTTCATTTGATAGTGCATGTCACTGTCTTGGCTTGTTCATGTGATTTCTTTTTATTCCACTCAAAATCTTTTAGTTGTCTGACACACCAGCTATTCCATCTCTCTTGATTTGAGAGACAAAAGAAATTGTCCCAAATCAAGTCCAGATTCACTGGATATGCTAAATTAGTTCTGCCTTTTCATTGCATGATTCATAAGTGTGTTCCTTTTTAACAAACCTGTTGAAATATGTGCACCTCCAAACTATTCATGTCAGATAAAATTACCAGTACCTTTTTGGGAAAGGATTCTGGTATAAGGCCCTGCTGCCTTTGCTTATTTTCCAGACAGGGGAGCTGAGGACAAAGATGAGCCAGTCTCATGAAGACAGTTTAACAAGTGTGGCCTGGAATCCTGATGGGAAGCGTTTTGTAACGGGAGGGCAGCGTGGACAGTTCTATCAGTGTGTAAGTTCTCTGCATCTGTCCCTTTGAAAACAAAGCAAGAATTTAAAAGCTTGGTCCCTGCTTTTTTTGGGTTTTGTATATGTGTACACTAAAGCTTCTGATCCTTTGCAATTCAAAGAAGCAATACATTAATGCAAGTATTTCAGCAGCACTTCTGTATGGAGCAGTTTGAAGGGTTTGAGTGTCTTTGACCTTCCTCAAGGAGGATTTGTGGTCTGGATTTTTTTTCTTAGCTGCTTCAGAAAAAAACACTAATAAAAAGCAGTACCTTTGTCCACAAGTGTTTTTATTCCACAGAATTTTGACTACATCTTTCTCAGTTTTTGCATGCTGTCTTTGCTTAGTGAAAACAGATGTGAAACCCTCATTACTTGAGTAATGCTGGTTTGGGGTGGTGGTCCACAGTTTCACCATATTCTTGATTATTTTCTCAACTGGTTCCCAGAATAATAATGTAGTATGCAGTCCTCACTGTGAAGGTCAGCTCAGTGGTGGGGTGCAGGTGGCATGAGAAAGTGACAGAAGGGATTCTCTGCTCTCCAGGGTGGATTCCTACAAAAGCCCTTGGTTAAGACTACCAACTCCTAATTCATTTGGCCCTGCCTTGTAAAGGGTAAAATTGCTTTCTGTAGCAATTGTCTGAATAGAAAGGGAAGAACTTTTTTGTGTCACAGCTCCTCAAAAACCTGAGACTAATGGTTGAATGTTTGTTGTTTTTTTCCTTCTGCTCAGGATTTAGATGGTAACCTCCTTGACTCCTGGGAAGGGGTGAGAGTACAATGCCTTTGGTGCTTGAGTGATGGGAAAACTGTTCTAGCGTCGGACACACACCAGCGAATTCGGGGTTATAACTTCGAGGATCTCACAGACAGGAACATGTAACTGCCTCTTTGTTGGGTTCTGAATTCCTGCTTCTTAGTGGCAGAGGAACATTGAGGAAGGGTGTGGGGCTCAGGATGGGAAACCAGTTGTTAAATGGTCTCAATATTAAAAGATGGGACAAGAATTAGTGAGCAAGTTTCAGCAAGCAGCATTAGATCAAGTATTAGAAATAACTCCCTAAGCACTGGAGTAGGTTTCTGTTTCTGGTGGATGTTTTGGCATTTCTGTCATCATGAGTACTTGTAGTCCTCTCAATTCCTGACATAATTTAGTAGATTCTGCCTTGAATTTAGGAGTTGAGATCTGAAGTCCCTTTTGGTCTCGGTGTTTGGCCTAACTATAAACAAGCATTGCAGACCTGGCTTATACTGGTTTATAGTCATACCTTATTTCAGAGTTGGAACTGTTTTTCCCTGATCATACTGCAGAGACAGGACATGCCTGTTGTCTTGGTGTTGTATCATTATGTGCTTATCTTGACTCTCGTGTGTTACCATTTCAGAGTACAAGAGGATCACCCTATTATGTCGTTTACTATTTCAAAAAATGGCCGTTTAGCTTTGTTAAATGTAGCAACTCAGGTGAGTTGGGAATGTTGAAAGGAAATGGAAGTAAATCTGCAACTGTTACCTGTTTTTAAGTATTTAGATGTGAGTTAAAATGTTTGATATTAACTAGTTGTATATTGTGTAATATGAAGGCCTTAATATTCATAAATACAGCATGGAATTAATTCTCTGAGAAGAAGGCAATCCTGTTCTTGAGACCTGATTTTTTTTTTTGACTGATTTATAGTCAAGAATTTCATATTGGGAAATATGTACTATTAAATGCTATTGTCTGCCTGTTGCATTGAGAAGCCAGGTACAGCAAGAACTGTGGCACTTTACATGTCTGGGGGCAGAGATTATATTTATCTATTTCTGCTTTTGAAACCTTGGGTAAAAATGAAGCTTTCAGAGTGGAAGGGACCTACAGTGAAAGTTTAGTTTAGTAATTTGATACATCTTTGCTCTTTGCACCCACTAACAGTACCAAAGTTGGCTCTAAAATAGTGCACTTCCATGTCTAATTTTTTTTCATTGTTCAGAAGAATGCCATTAATAATACTTAATGATAAAATAACATTCTTTAAATTTCTTATTTCCAGGGAGTTCACTTATGGGACTTACAAGACAGAGTTTTAGTGAGAAAGTATCAAGGTGTTACACAAGGATTTTACACAATTCACTCGTGTTTTGGAGGTCATAATGAAGATTTCATTGCGAGTGGCAGTGAAGGTAACACCATTCTCCTTTGTGCAGAAAACTGGAACACTGTATCCTTCCTATACCTTCATCTTATAGATGACAGTTGCTAACAACATTATAAAAGCAAACCAACTGGCTCATGAAATAAATTTGAGGCGTGCTGAGATTGTGGCATACTTCAAAAAGTAATTGTGGGCTGGCAGACAGAATCTTCTGAGAGGATGGCAGAGGTAGAACACATTAATGACTCTTTTGTGTTCCTCCTCTAAAGCAAAAGCATCTGTACAGTTTAATTAGAAGTGGGTGGGGTGTTCTTGAGGATTTTTGTTTTGTGGTGTGATATTTAGACTTCTGGTTTGAATAAAATGTACTTCTGTGGAGTAACAGCTTCATTTGCCTGTTGAAGATACAGGTGTGGTGAGGTTATTTCAATTTCCATAGAATCATTTTAATTACAGACAGAGTAGCCTCAAATTAGGCAGTTGTTGACGTAGTCTGGTAGAGTTTCTTGGTGATTAAAGGCTTTGAAGCATGTTTTTATTTAGCTGTCTGTGGCAAGAGTAGAAATTTGTTAAAAGCTTATGTGTTGAATTGGTTTGGTTTTGTCACTGGTGTAGTGCCATCATCTGTCATGGAGGTCACGTAAAATTCAGGCTTATGCAGGGCTTAGAATTACACGTGTAATAGGTAAACAAATTACTGTGAATACTGTGTAACTCACAGTTCTTGGGAAACAAGATTGGCCAAGGCATTTCCTACTCTGTTTTTGGAAAATATGAAATATATCTAAAATAAAATGAAGTTTCACTCTCTGACTGTATCCAGTGGAATATGACTGAAGGACAGCACCTCCAGTCCTCCAATCCAGTGTGAACCTTTTTCCATGGCTGGACAAGATTCTTTGTTTCCTGAAAGTTCAGGATTTAGCCATAACTGTGTGCAGGTGTAGATACTGTAGTGTACCAGTCATTTTTGTCCCCCAGTTTATCGACTTTCATTGTTTAAAAACCACTGTAGTTGAAACCAGCACTAAGGAAGTGATGGTTTCTTAGATTTGAACTGTCTGAAGCGGTTGCCTTTGTTTTTAAAAAAACAAGCAAACAATAATAACAGGTTACATCCTCACAGCTGGCTTTAAAAAGTAGTTGATCACGTTGTCATAACCTCTTAAAACATCATGTCAGGTTAGGTAGGGGTTTTCCTGGCAATTGCATCCATAGGAAGAAAATAGAGGTCTCTGTCTCAGAGGGGAATTGACTGCTGCCCTAAAGTAGTTATCTTGTTTCTTCCAGGCCAAAGTTCTGGTTTGTCTTTAGGTTTTGGTTACCTGACAGAGCAGAGGCTTGTGTGTGTAGTGTGTGAATTGTTTTGTTGGTGAATGGCATGGATGCACAGGTCCCCTTGAGATCCTAAGTGGAATGGGAGCCCAGCCAGAACATTTGCATCAGCACAAGCACATGTGAAGGTGGTACCTCAAATGAGCTGGTTCAGCACAGGACAAGGGAGTTATACCATGTAGGAAAAAGCCATGAGGCTTTTCTGGCAGGAAGGTCAGGGAGCAAGTTTGTTTCATAAAGGGCAGGGAGGAGGAATAGAGGAAGATTGGTTTGTTTGCTGAGCCTTCAGTGGCATCTATGTGAAAGCCTTTAAAATAGAACAAAATACTTTCATTTGGTTGCTAGACCCCAATACTAGGCTTTTGTGTAATACTAGCAATGCATACTTGTCCAGTTTATGTAACTCTGTTTGGAATGTTCCACAGACAATCCTAGACAGGTAAACCCACACACTTGTTACAGGCTGCTGGTCTACAGCTGGGAAAAACCCCCCTCCTTCTCCCCACTCCTCAATTATTCTTAAATATGGTTGGCTCTAAAGAATGACTCTTCTCTAAACAGTGCAGTAGAATGTCTAACCAGTTCCCTATTCTATTTCTAGCATGTTGCTAGAATTAATTAAAAGCTTCCCATCACAAAATAGGATGTGCAGGGTTCATTTGCATCTACTTCAGTATGTACAAATTGATATCTTTGAATACCACACAGTAATTGGTTGTCAAAGATAGTAATAGCTCACAGTTTGACACATTAAGCTTTAGCCCTCCCTCATTTGCTCTGTTTGCACTTTCTCTGGAATGTCACAGGTTTTTAGTATTAAGATGTTTTTCATAAACTACAGAGCTGTGATCTTATCTGGTACTCATGAACAGGAGGTGGTTATAATTATTCTTAGTACTCATGACTTTATAATGCATTTACTAATTTGCAAATACAATTATTTGAGAGGGAGAAAAAAAAAATCTGCAAGTCTTCCTTTTGAATAAGATTACAACTCCATACCTGTAATTAAAGAGCAGTTTAGTTTCTCTTTTTACCCTTGCATTGACTTATTTGCATTACAGTCAAACGTTTTTCTTCAAACACCAAGCGTAGTAGACTGGCAGGTGTTAATGGAAGAGCTTTGCCTGCCTTCTTTTGATCGCTTCTAAACCAAAAGTTTTGTTAGTGCCGTTCCCCACTGGAGACTGGAGCGCGAGTGCCGGTGCCGCGGCCGTGCGCGCGCAGAGCGGCGCCGCTCAGGCCGCTCTCCCTGTGTTTGGTTCAGATCACAAGGTGTACATCTGGCACAAGCGCAGCGAGCTGCCCATCGCGGAGCTGACGGGGCACACGCGCACGGTGAACTGCGTGAGCTGGAACCCGCAGCTCCCGGCCATGATGGCCAGCGCCTCCGACGACGGCACCGTTAGGATATGGGGACCAGCGCCTTTCGTAGACAGCCAGGATATTGAAGGTAAAAAAAAAAAAAAAAAAGGCCTTACTCAAAAATTAGTCACTGCTTTGGTTTGGTTTTTTTCTAGTGTGTGACTGGTGGTTTTTATCCGAGGTACTCATTTTGTGGAATAAAAAAGACACAATCGGTATTTTCAATATTATTCTGATACGGCCCCATAGAAAACTGTGGTGTCACTAAGAGCCTAGGATGATATTAATTTATTTATGCAGGCTCCATAAAAACCTGGCTTTCAATGCTTAGGTTTAGTAATGTATAATGTTATTAAAATTTAAACAGTGCGTTCTAACCACACTGCAAATTGAATAATGTTATTGGTTACAAAAGAAATTTCCAATGTCTAGAGAGAGTGTCAAGTTTTACCCTAGAGAACCTGTACAAAATTGTATATTTACTAACCATCAGTAACCACATGTGTCTGGGGGAGAGGGAGAAAATGCTCATTTTTTTGCTGCCAAAATGCACCCAGGTGTTCCCAGCCCTTCCTGCCTCCCCCAGATTGTTAAGGAGATGACTGGTGGGGAGTTGTTGTGCACTTTATGTGGTTCTGTCATTATGTATTCAACCTTGCAGTAGGAATTTACAGGAGACATTAAAATGATATATAGTATATCCTATTGCCACAGAACCTCATGGATGTGACACCAAGGGGAACCTAGGCAAAGTAATCAAAGAGAAATCCATTAAGGGCTGGTAGATAAGTAAACACCTCTAGTTCAGAATGTCCCTTAGGTAAAAATGGCTGAAAGTTGGAAGGATGTTAGGAGGAAGCATTACCTCTTCTCCCTGCTCCAGTGCTTTGATACATGTGTTCTAGTCTTGGACTAGGTGGACCAGCCTGGCTAATCTGTAAGACCTGGAATGCCCCCATAAGGAGTCAGAGCCTGTCCTCCAGCTGGTTTTACTCATGGCTTTGTTGTTTGGTTTTCTGCAGTGAGCTGCTTGCTCACTCTCTTAGTTCCTCCAGAAAATGAACCAGTAAGTGCCATCAAAACCAAACCAACCACAAATGGATTTCTCACAGCAGTGCTTTCACAAGAGGTGTAGGTGCACACAATAATGCCTAACCACTTAGGAATCCTAAATGGGTGACAAGACAGCTCTGTCATTAGCACACTCCCCATGAACTTGTATGTCAGTGTGTGTTACGGCTTCTTGGACCAGATGCTTTTTGAGTACCCACACCTAACATGCTAAAATAATTTCTAGATTGTTATGAATAATTTTATCTAAAATAAGTAATTTTAAGCATGGAATTTAGCTACATTGTAAGATCAATTAACTAGTGCATGTTCAGTTAAAATTTTTGTAAATACACTGTATTAATTACCTTATGATAGAAATATGAACTGTTGCTAAGATCTTCAAGCTGTGATTTCTTTCTCTCTCTATGTTTTTGTTTTTGCTCAGAGGAATGCAGTAGCATGGATAGTTGATGGCGAATTTGGAGCAGACGACTTCAGTTTAACTTAATTAGTCGTATTTTAAATGGCTTGGGATTTGGTGCAAACAAACATGATTGATAGCTGGACAGACATGCTCGTCATGAAAAAGAACCATTTCTGAAGCCCGGTTGGGGCCAAACATTTACCACCTTTGCTTCATAGTAACCAGTCGAGATGAAGCACGTCTTTAGAACTTTGTTGGACACCGTGTTGAAATTACCCCCCCATCGGTTGTGAAGAACTGTGCTACATTCAGGCTAACCATTGAACTCAGTATATATATTTTTCCCTCCTGCCTTTTTGTCTGGCAGGCTACTGTTCTTGTTGCTCTTCTGTGTAATGAAGTTTAAATGCTTGTTTGGAACACTTTATTTAACAGTTTAGAAGGCTTGATAGAAAGAGTGCTTTAGTCTGAAGAGTATACATTGGATAGGAAAGTATTTCCTTCTCTTGTTTCTCAAGTCTCTCTCCGCCTTACTTAGCTTGAGATCTTTGCAGCTTGGTTCATGGATTCTAGCCTTGCCCGTTGCGCAGTATATCTATCAATTGAGAGGATAAACCAATGAACTATGTCAAAAGCACTCTCAGTATCACATTTGACAAAAAGTTTTGTACTTTTCACATAGCTCGTTGCCCTGCAAAGGGGTTAACAGCACAATTTTTTAAAAATAAATTATTTATAGGATTAAAATGACTTCATTTGTATACATTTGGAATTAAAACAATGCAAGAAGTGTCGTGAAACACGGTATCACTGATGCTTTTCTGGAGTGTCCTGAGACCCAATCAGAAGCAGTGGCTGGAAGGAGATTTATGTAGGCAGTAAAGCTTGTTTCAGATGGAAGAATTCACTGTCCATCTTAACAGTTAGACTGTATTAGCTAGGAAAAAAAGCATTCAGACTGCACCACCGGTCTAAGAGCTGAAACAAGAAGAGGTCTTTTGGTTTTTTTAATTACATAAATATATGCAACAATGCTGGTGTAAAAGGTAGCCTACACTTTGAGGGAAGAATGTGTTGAAAGAGTCCTTTCTTCACAAAGTCAACACTTTGTATAAGTAATTTACGTACAAATCATAATTAAACACTTGTATTATGATGGAAATTTTTTCTTTATTTGATAAACAGGGGTGGACAGATGTTGTTGTTGAGAATATACTTTTAAGTTTGCAGATTTAAATGCCTCTTCCAGACCTTGTTGCAAGCTGGTGCTGTGAACATCTTGACACATCTAGGAGTAGTTCCACCTAATGTCCCATATTAAGAAAAAGCAAACATTTATAGTTGAAATATTTATTCTTTTTGACATAAACAGATGGCCTGGCATCTCTGTGCTTCTGCACTACACACAGATCCATTATGGGATGGCACTGGATTCCCTTTTGCCACCGTGGGTGCAAAGGTAGTGTTGGTACTGCTGTGAAGTAAAGAAGGAGCAGGGAAGGGCATGCCACCAGAGTCATGTGAGCAGGAGTGTGGACTTCATCCTTTCATGAGATAATGATTCAGTGTCCTTATTAGTCACGTGTGGAAGAAGGGTGGGGGAAGGTTTGCTGGAATTCCTGGGAAGAGAGGTGTAGCCACTTTGAATGGGAGTGTGGTGTTTCCCAGAAAAACAAAGGTTAGCAGGTTAGACTTTTTTTTTTTCTTTTAGATTCCAGCCATCCGATGTGTGTTTGTCTTGCCTTGTGTGCAAACTTAAGCATGAGTTAAGATTCTGATACTGTGGTTGAGACCAGCCCCAAATCTGACATATGAGTCTTGTAATACCTCCAAAACCAGGTAGGAACTTAATGTTCAGCCTTAAAACTAAGGTGAATGCTTTGATAGCAATTACTGTTTCACAGCACTGAAAATACGTGTGTAAACTTAAGATTATACAGCAGTTCCTTCTTCCTTTAATCAGTTCTGGAGGAAGCTCTTTATTTCCCTTCCTAGTTCAGAAAGTGCAAAATGAGTCAGGCCTGTGGCCTTAATGTTGCAGCAAAACAGACAAGTTCCCGTGGTCAAATTTGAGTAAGCTGAACCGAAATTGTAAAATGTTTTACATGTTCAAAACATGGTACAATTCATAAGCACTGCCAGCATGTGAATCTTTGGAAGTTACTCTAGTATTGTCTTACTCTGGAACTTAGGTTTTCAAACCAAACATTGTTTAGGGAGAGCAAGAATAATGGTTTTGATGTCTCTTAATGTCTCATGCAGTGGTCTGTCATTACATACTCATGGAAATGAAGTGGGAACTTCAGGCAGGTGGTGAAGGCTGGATCAAATCTCAAGTGTAGATTTAAAGTTTTCTATGCACTTCAGGCATTTCCAGTGTGTGGCCATAACGAGCCAGAGCGAGACTCCTTCCCTGGTGCAGCTGGGGGAAGGTGTGGGCTGATGCCTGCTTTCCACAGCGGTGCAGTTAGGGATTTACATGTAGGACCTCTGCAAAAACACTGCCCCTCTCTTCTGGACTTGGTTTGTCCCTCTGGGATACTTTGGAAGCCGAGTTAGGGAGAAGCACGTGTGGGACCTCTCTCCCTCAGTGTCCTGGTGCAGCCATGCCACGTAAAGGCACGCTCCAAGCAGGTGGCACTGCTTCCAGAGTGTCTCAGTGCCAGCCTGGTGGCACCTCGGGGCCATGAGCAGGCAGGACAGAAAGGTGAGATTCGTCTTCATTTTGCCACACTACTCAGTCCCACAGCAGCTGCCATTTGAGATGTAGCAGTGAGTACCATCCCAACCTGGAGGTGAAAGACCAACCTAAATTATTTCCAACACTATGTGGATTGAAAAGTACCAATACTTTTTGTGCACAGACGATAAAATGAGACTGGGGTGGGGGGTAAAGGGGGGAAACCCAAATTAGTTTGCTCATTTGCAACACACTGATTTCCATGTGCTTAAAAATGTTCATAGGCTGGAGTGTGAGGCTGGAACAAGTACACACTCCCAATAAATTACTGTATTTCCAGTCAGCAGGCCCATGGTTTTAGAGAAGAAAATACTGTAAGTGTGTACTCATTTTGTAACTTTCTCTGGTCACCTGTTGGCTTCAAATATTCACAGCAGCCCCAGGTTATTATCAAGGCAGATCTCAAAAAAATGCTGAAGCATTTTATTATCTGAATGTTCTTTAGCTGTTCAGGTAAGTAATTTTCAAGGCACAATGGAACACAAAAGGGAAAATGGTAGCTCTGTTCATGTTTTGGAGGGGAGGGAAGTGGGGGAGATGACACCTTTGTTTTTAAATTCCCTCTGTCTTTTCTGAAGTTCTCCAACTTTAAAGTTAACTTCTCTTTATGATTGGAGCAAAGATGCAAGCTAGAAATCTGCCCAGATCTTGCCAGTTACTTCTCAACTTGGCTTCAACCAGGTAATGTTGAATAAAACTGTCTGCTGTTGGGAGTTGGTGTCTAGTTGTGTATTTTTACACTGCTAAGTGATACTCCCACCCCAAATCAGTTGTGGAGGCTTCCTTAGCAGGAAGCCAGGGCTCGTACAATTAGCTGTAGCTCGAGGGGATATGTTGTAGATCCAAATGGGGAGGGAGGTAGAGAAAAAGTAATGGACATAAAAAGCAGGATTTACTGACCAACAAACAAACTACTGTAACTCAAGGGGGAGGAGGAAAAATGCACTTTCAATAGTTTGTCCATATTTTTAGCTACAAAATACACTTGTATCTAATTTCTTTTTGAGACGACTATTAAGAGGAACACCCATCCCATAAATGGCTAATCCTCCTTTTGCCTTCCTCCTGTCTTTTCCACATTGGCTTGAGTCCATTTTCAGCTGCCATACTTGATTTTTGAAAACTGCTACTTTTAACGATGTCTAGAAAGCAAAATCATTAACTATGACACTTTTTTTAAACAGGGTGGACTTAATTGAAGTGTGCAGTGTTGAACTACTGCTGCAGTAGCTGCCTCTAGTTGAAATAAACTGTAGCCAAGTTTTCTGTCTATTCATCCAGATAATCTGGATTCAGTCAAACATCTGTGAGAGTGTTCCTCCCATCTGGTGTGAGTGTGTGTGTGCGTGTGTTCCACAAACAGAGAACCAAATGTTCTAGGTACTCGTCATGTTTCATTGCATACTTCAAGTCGTGTGTATGTGAAGTGTCCTTTGACCAGAAGGTTTTGGTTCATATCAGTATATTTTTATAAATTTGAAATTCATTGTGCCCCATCTTTTTTCATAAACATTTTTCATTCTTAGGGTATATGTGCTAGATTTGAAACTTAACATTTTTAGGCACAGATGGAAAAAGTTATTGGCTCCTTGAAAACATATGGGACAAAATGGATCCTCAAAGCATGTATGTACTTACAAACCAAGCTGTAGAGATCAAGAAAAGAACTTTATTGTTGATCTCAAGATTCCTAAATTGTCAAGATTTATATGGAGTTGTGGTGGAACTAGTTAACACTTAGAGCTTTTGGTATGTAATGACTATTTGCTATGGACTGATATTAAATGTTTCAAAGGATTGCGTTCTTAAACTTTCTGGATTTTTGTTACTCTCAGATATTATTAAGTAGTTAAAAATTTCTTTGCTATATTACATTAAAAACATAAGAACTTTGGGTCTCGTATTTATTTTCACTTGTTTTACTAATTATTTACAGAACACCGTTTTAACTTTTTTATTTTATAAATGTGTAGTATTTTAAACATATCTTTAAAAATTGTTCAATTGGAACTACATTAACTTCTGATTTGTTTTTATTAGGATTTTTAAAAAAAAAATACACTTTTTCCATGTCGGTGCACAGCACTTAACAGAAATGTTTGTATTCCCTTTCTTTCAATTCAATAAACAATAAATAACTGGAATGAATAGTTCTTAGTTTCCCTAACTTCACTTATATGACTGACTTGGATGTTAATTTCTGGATCGTTAATTGTAGATTTCTTCCATAGTGTTCACTTCCTGGCTAGGACAATGAATTGGTGGCAGTGTAGCTGCAGCTGAGTCACTCAGAGCCGTGTTCAGGCTCTCCGGGCTCTGCCTCTAATCCACCTCAGCCCTGTCTGTGCTGTACTTTAGCACCCGACCTGCCGTGTCCAGGCTGTGCTTATCTCACTTGCTCAACATCTGCTCCCCTGAGGCTCCCTGAACTCCGTCATTCCTTAACGCTGCAGCTTGCTTCAGTACCACACGCTGCTTGCTGTAGGTGATCTCTGAGTTTTATGGGGTTTTTTGATACTTGATAGTAAGAAGGTGCTCCTGAAGTACTTGGGTCTCCTGCCTTTGTGTTCCCTCTAACTTGTCCCTCCTCCCTGTGCCTCAAACCACAACATCATCTTTGTCCCGCCTTTTTATTCAGCTCTAGCTTACGTTGTGTTAAAAAGTTGTGCCTGGATTCCCACTCCCTGTAGCTTTTCCAAACCTTTTGCTGATGTGCATTCAATTTTTGAATTTTTTACTTATTGATTAGAAGCCTTCACTCCTTCTAGTAGCACCTTTGTATTAACTTTGTTCTCTCCCTTACAGCTTAGGCAGCACACAGATAATTATGGCTTAAATGCAGCTGCCAAGAGAAGGGATGTGCCTTGTTCCTCTGCCTGTCCCCCTTTGTGCCACTTCCCTTGGCTGCTGGTACTTGCAGGAGGGTTCTTGGGTTGCAGACCCACTTCAGCCATGAATTATTCACACAGCAGATGAAGGAAATTACTGACAAACCCAGCAAAAAAAAAAAGCTGTGCTTCATCTGCCGTCCTGTCTGCCTTTAACAGGTCAGAAGTGTGCAAGGGAAACAGGGATATGAATTCTTCGGGCCTGTGACTTTTCAGCTTTTGTTACACTTAAGTCCTGTGGGTTTGGGTTTTGATACTTTTGGGGGTTTTTTAAAATTTTGTTTTGTTTTTTAATGTGGTTTTTTTTTGTTTTTTTGTTTGTTTTGAAATAATCGGAATTATTTTAATGTTTTGGTTTTTTAATGTGGTTTTTTTTTGTTTTTTTGTTTGTTTTGAAATAATCTGAATTATTTTAGAAAGAAATTCCACAATGAACCTGAGAGCAGATGTGCATTTCTTAATCAGCTTAAACCTAAACTCTGCCTGAGAAGAGCCCTTCCTTACACTGTCCCTGCTCTCTGTGCTGCCTGGTCACCTCCCTGTGTGCCTCACATGTGCCAGGGCTGGCACCTCATCCCAGAAGGATGGCAGTGCCCGTTGTCTCCTCACTTTTAAAGAACTGTAATGCTCTGAAGGGTTGGTATGCCTCTGTTTCTGCCAGAGCTAAGGTGGTGAATGTGCTGACAACTGGTTCATAATACCTAGCCCAGATTTTCCTGCTGCTACCTCCAATGTCCATTATTCCTGTACTTAAAGGCATAAATGGTCTTTTGGCACTTGTACAACAAAATCCTAGAGAGCTTCTTGTAAGAAGAATTGGAATCAAGCTGACATTCCTGAACAGATGAAGATTTGCCCTTTTGGGCTTATCAGAATTTCTGGTTGATTGTTAACCTGCATGTAGAATTGCTCTTAGGACTACTGGTCAGACCACTGATTAAGCATGTTCCGTAACACAGAACCATTTCAGAAAATCAAACCAGTCATTTACTAGATCGAAAAGGGAAGTATATTCCTTTAAAAAGGTTCAATAAACAACAGTGTAACTAATGATTAATTGGGGGAAACATGAAATTCTACACATTTTAACTAACCCCCAAATGCACAGTTCTTAACTGTGTTGTGTAATCTCTGAACACTGAGGCAAGATGGTCATCTTTGTAAGCTGCAGATTGTGGGTGAGGAAAAGGGCTCAGTAACATCAGTTGAAAGTCGGAATCCCTGCAGGACTGATTTCTTTTCACTGATTAGGAGTTTTCTATCAACCATGGCTCATGGTGCCTCACAAAGTTCTACCTGAATACCTCGAGCCCAAAGGGAAATAGTCTGAGTGGACAGGAAGGAGTCTGTATTTGACCTCACACCGATTTATAGTGATAGTCAGATGAATCCTTTTTTAAAAATCCATCTCAAGTTTCTTATTGTCTTGAATTCTGTATGATAAGCTTGGATTTAAATTACCTTGTTCTCATGCTGAAAAATAGAGAGTTTTGGGGTTTTTTTCTTACCACCATAAGAATTTCTGTGCTCTGTGGGTCTCCTAGGAGTCACATAATTGCAGTGTTCCTCTTTCTTGCTAATTAATCATGTTTTTAGCTATTACAAATACATTTTTTCTGAAGATCTCTTTTGAAGCTGGCACTGACCCTGTACAGTAAGAAGGCTTCAACATTACCAGTGTAATCATTCAGCAGAATTGTAGTCTCTGAAACCTGCTGCTGAGGTTTTTACAAGTCTTATAATCAGTTTTTGGATATAAGTGAACAGAACTTATTCATCATGTTCTCAGAATACAAGCTGCTATTTTGAGTAATGGACTTAAAATGAAATGAGGTTAATGCTCATGTTTCTCAGTGTGAAACAAGTTTAGTGAACTGTATCTATTGTCAGCAGTACAGCAAGGACCTGACTTAGGCCCTTTCTTCCAACACCCAAAATACGTGCAGTAGGTTTTTTTCACACACAAATAAAGTCATTTAATTGTATACCACAATCTGCTAAAAAAGTTACTGACTTTCTACTCTTTAGAAGTTTTTTTTGCTCTCCTTTCTCCAGACCCACCTCCTCTCAGAGTTTTGGCTTTACAGGGCAGTACTTTGTGTAGTTTGATGTTGTGCTGTCAGTGTCATCCAGCTGCGGGCTTTACAGGGCAGTACTTTGTGTAGTTTGATGTTGTGCTGTCAGGTAGTCAGTGTCATCCAGCTGCAGTAGCTGTTTCTTTCGTTACTTTTTTAATGAGCACAATTTTCAACATTCATCTTTAACACAGCTTAACTTGGATTCCATCCATCAAAAATTTAAAGCCAAACTTCTCCTAGAACAAACACTGAACACAAGGTTACCTACAGCAATAAAGCATCAGTATTGCCTTTTTATGGCTAGCCCTGAAAACAATTGTTGACTTCAGCTGTACACTGAAACCCCAAGTACTTAAAAAAGCTCATAAATTTTCGGATGTAATTACAGAAGTATATTTTGTAAGTGTTTTAATTGATGTGTTTGTTCCAAGAGACCCATTCCCAAGCACATATAAAAACTTAAAGACAGTTATTGGACAGTGAGGGTACAAACTCAGGTTTATATGCTTATCGCTGATGCAAGAGCTGCACAAAGAGAACCTGCTGGTATCACTGAAGCAGAGTCACCTCAGAACTGGAGTGACTGGGGTTATGGGTTAGCAGACCATTTCCCTGAGCTAGACAGACTCTGGTTTCAGCCCACTGGCTGTGCAAGCAGCAGGTTCAGGGAGTAGCAACTGCAGATAGTCTTTTGCTCTGTAACCAACTCCACCCCAGTGCAATACGATCTTTACTTTATCTGGATGTCCATGATGCACTTCAATGACAAAATAGGAGTTGAAGGGAAAAAGCAAGTATTAATCATGTTTATCTGCACTCTTACACACAAGTGTCATATCCAGCAAAGGGATCTTAATCCATCCAAATGCAAGACTTCATGTAGATTGTTGCAGCAGGGTGGGGAAAGGGAGGAAAATGTAATTTTTATTCCATTGATTTTTGTCTGGAAAGAATACCAACACAAAGATGCAAGCTGTGCTCCTGTTCCACTCTGAAATCTGTTCCAAGTGCTCCTTCAAATTAGGCTCTGATAGGACAGCTTGGCAGCCAAAGTCTCATCCTGACACCTCTCAGCAAGAATCAGGTATCACTGCTGCGCTTGGACGTGTTCTGGAACAACCATCATTAGCTAATGCTGCTGAAACAAGTTTCCCTTATCACCGTTTAATTCCTGTGAGGTCACTTCTGTAAGCAAGGATTTCATCTTACAGAAGCAGCAGCTCCAGAAGTTTGGCTTGTAAAGGAACAAAAACAACTGCTACACAGATCCAATGCCTTTTGAAAATATTTTATGTTAAAAATACAGAAAAATATTTCTTGTTCAAAGAGGAAAAATATACTGCATGACGACACTGATCTAGGTGTGTTCGGGAGGTGTCTGTGGCTCCACAACCAGTCACTGGAGTGATGACCCAATCTGGCAGCTAATGCTTCTCTTTCAACTTCTCAATCATTTATCAAAGCCAGAATCATACTGTGACAAAACAGAAAACATGATACCAGTGGATTACTGAAGCTTGTGCAAGCAGGAGCAGCTCTCACTGTCATGGGAGAGCTGCACGGAGAGAGCCTGAAATAGAAAGTCAAGGCACCCCTGCTGTGTGCTTTGCTTATGAAGACAAGGCTGCAGAAGCAACACTGCAGCACAGGAACAGCAGCTCTGCAGCCTTATCACAGAACACATCTATTTGTAACTCAGCCAGACCAACTTCATTTTTAAAAACACAACTTGTAAAATAAACTTGGTGCTTGGGAGTATTTCCTTTCTAAACGGGTCACTTACTACTGCAGGTGCTGAAAGCATGCAACTCTTTAGGCTGTACTTGTGGTTTTGAGATTAAGGAATAGCCTGAGTATCCAAACAGTGTTTGATCAGAATGAATAAAGGCATATAATGAGCCCAGAGATAGCTGTCAAAATATATTACCAAGGCTGAGCAGGATGCAAAAAGCTAAGACATGGATACCAACAATTACACCAGTGGAACAGAGGAGATAAAAATAGCTGGCAGGCAATCCCTTTGTTGCTTGGGAGCAATTTTTGAAACTAACCTGTAAAGGTACATGAAGAAACAGAGCAGATGAAAGCCCAGCTTAATCATGGCTTCTTTCATGTGTGATTTCAGTTGTCCTCGGTTATGGATCTCTGTAGGATCAAATACTCCCATGTTTCCACTTG